TCTTCCTTCAAACAATCATTATCTGAAAATTAATGACTCAAATATATATATATATATATAGAAATTTGGTGGTATATGGGAGATCTTATAACAGCATGTGTTATTAACATTTTGCGCTATCTTGAAGAGTAAATGCTCTTTTTTGTATGTTAAAATAGCAACGTCAATAACACAAGCTGTTATAAGATCACTCATATCTACTTACTAGTCTGGTGGTGGTTCTGAAGATAAACATATAATGCAAATACCTAAATATATATTTGTCATATAAATCTCATACATTTTTCTACAAACAAATCAGTATTAACATCATTATCGTCCAGATGTTTTCATTACCCAGCCTTTGTTAATCCCTGCATGAATCAAAAATAAAAAAAAATTAATTGTGTTGATATGTTACTACAATTCACAGATTTCTTTTATTATTAGAACAATAATATGATTGTCCACGGGTACCCACAGGAAGTTTTCTCAGATGTGATCATCGTCAAGAGATAACTGTTACCACAGCTCCCCTGAGGGCATCCATGTTATTGTTCAATAGCAATACTTGGCTTTGATTTCATTAAGATTATAGTGAGCTTTACATATTAACCCTACTGCTCTGACAATAGCTGATTTAAAACGAAGTATGGAAACTGAGTTGGACAAAAAGCATTACAAATCATCATTAGTTATTGAGTCATATAAAAACTTACAAATGTTGTGTTCTGCAAATATCCGTCAGAGCTGAGCCTTTTGATTAGATCAGAAGTAATTTCTGAGCTGGTAGTTCTCAGGACTTCAGGGGTTGACGACGGCAGCAGGTACGATCTTCAAATATTACATTCCTAAAATCAGTAACCGCTGCATCTCTGATCTTCCTCAGGATCTGCCAGAAGCCTGGCTAATGACTTGGATCACCTTAAAAAAGAAAGTTTTGATGTGAAGTTTGTCTTATAGTATTTACAAACATAGGTATTACAGCTTTGTGTACTTACAATGTTATACTTCACAACTCCGAACAAAATGCATATGGGTCAAATAACTTAATAGGGACTTTATTTAATTCAAATGAAATGTTAAGAAAATGACATGCTGAAAAAAGTAAGGTTATTTTTGCAAATCACAGAGCCCAGGAACAAACCCGCCGGAAATTTAAACTGACCAATCAGACAACGTCAGTTGAGAATAAGTCGCCATTTTTTGAGGGTGCGACATGGTTGTCATATGAGTTTCACCCCCCTGAACTGAATGCTAGGTAGTGCCGGTGGCTTCGAGCTCGTGTCCGTCATCCTCACCTAAACTCTGGGCTCTGAAGAAAGACATTAAACGTAAACAGTGATCAGCACGTGAACAGATCCCTCGAAAGCATCCACGGATATACTCCAGTCACTTTAGGTCTAAACATCCTCGGCAGTGTATTTCTAGTGAATCCACAGACCCTTGTTCGTGTCATCTTGAGACTAGAAAAAGGATGACTGTTAAAATAAGTTACCTTGATCTTTCATGAGCTCCCAGTACAAAACATCATCGATATATTTTTGATGTAGGAACAACAAATTGGTTTAGAAAACATCCACTTTGAACCTAAATCGACTGGAGTAACATCGATATACAGACAAATTCAAGGTCACTAGCAGTCGTCGGCGCTCTACGAATCTGCACAGGTTTGGACTTGTAAACGTGATTGTAGATGACACGACAGGCATCTAACAGTTAATTCACGCACAGGATTGCATTGCATACGCATTACGCATTCAGTAGCGTATACTCGTTTTTCGCGAGTGGAACGTTTTGTTTATATATTGCCTAAGATACGATGTCTGACACAGATACAGCCGACGAAGTGGTTGACATCAGCGCAACTCCACCCAAAAAAAGGGCTAAGAAGCTACATTTAAGTGCAAATGAAAAACAAATAATATTAAATATATTCAAAAACCAAATTCAAGAAAAACCCGATTTGGTCGTGGACGAAGTTATATGTAAGGTAGCACATATTTCTGGAGTATGTCGGTCCAGTGTTTATAGGATCATTAAGGAATATAGGAGCACTCACTCACTTTCTGAGCCAAAACCGTATCCTGCAAGAAAAAGGATAACGGACGGAGTAGATGACTTTGACAGAACTGCCATCAGGAGGAAAGTGCATCATTTTTTCTTCCGAAATGAGATACCTACAGTAGATAAGATATTAAGATTAGTTAATGCTGATGAGGATCTTCCATCATTTAAAAGAACCACATTCCGAAAACTTTTGAAGGAACTTAATTTTCGATTCTTGAAACGGGGAAGAAACAGTATGTTAATAGAGAAAGAAGAAACTGTTGTGTGGAGAAGGGAATACCTTAGGAAGATTCGGAAGTTTCGCGATGAAAAAAGAAAAATTTACTATTTGGACGAAACGTGGGTGAATGCTGGACATACTCAAGCGAAAGTTTGGGTCGACAAATCAGTAACATCATCAAGGCAGGCTTTTCTAGACGGTCTTTCGGCTGGATTGAAAAATCCTGCAGGTAAGCTCCTTCATCTATCCGGCAATTTAATTTTGATAAATTCGGGCAAATAATATGCTGTGATAGCAGATAATGTGTGATATTCTCCAAAGATGGTGCATTCGCAGTGTAGTCATTAGGAAAAAAACTTCGACCCTCTTTTAAGCGTTATTTTTTAACCCCTACAAAATCCAACCCGTACGTCCTCGAGTTCGTTCTGCGGGGCGGCCTTGGGCGCTGAACCGTGTGCGACCGTGTAGGGGGGGCAACGGGGTGCCGGTCTTGCGGTGGACCGCCTCGATTAGTTTTTGAGGAGACCCGCCGGAAAGCCGGTAGCCCGGCCAATCGAATGATTCGTTGAGCCACAGGTGTCTCGGATGTATATCTGGGACGCCTGCAGCTCAACGGTCATCATGGGCAATGGTACGTTACCCAACCCAAGGTGTTAAGCGATTCCGTGCCGAGGGGTGCGTGGCGGTGGGGATGCACCGTCTTAAACGGAGCCTCTGGGACACCGGGCGACCTCCCAGAGTATCCAGCCTTGCGTCCGTGTAGGGGCACCGCGGACGTCGATCACCACTTCCCCTATACTCGTGGGAACATTATGGAACCAAACGATGGAAAAAATAATAAAAAACCCGAGGCCCCCCCTACAGGGGACCCCGAACATCCAGGCGACCCCTCACCAGGGGACCCTGATCGTACTCTGACAGAGGAATCTGTCAGAAGCTTAGCGAGAGAGCTAGCGGAAAGGGTGGGCTCTCTAAAGATTAAGAAAAAGTCTCGGCCAGGTTCCGAAAGGAAAAGGGCTCGGAAGCGGAGAGAGGCGCAGATGACGGAGGGCTCGGAAGGTCGGGGCACCACTTCTGGGACCCCGGCTGGACGGACCCAACCGCCATCTGGGCTAGACGGTGCGCAATCCGGTGTGTCAGCGGAGACCCTAAAGCGGCCCGGTGACGGGAAGCGGCAGAGGTCTGCCGGTGGGACACCGGAGGGCGCATCCTCGCGGAAGAAGCCTCGCACTGCGACGCATGCGCAAATTAGTTATGCGCGAGCGTCCCAAGCGGGTCTCAGGGTGGCCGTCGTGTCCGACGGTTATCCTGGGACTCAACTTACTAATGTACAGGTGCAGCAGGTCCAGGAGGCGGTCAGTGTGCTGATAGATGGGATCCCAGATGAGGTGACCCTTCCCAGGTACATTGACTGCTACCTCTCTCGAGGGGCAGCCATCTTTGTCTGCGAGGACGAATCCTCTAGGGCATGGTTGGAGGCCCACGTGGGGGATCTGCGGCCGTGGGAAGGCGCAAGGCTCATTACGATGAGCTTTGGAGACCTTCCCATATACCACCGCGTGATGGCCTGGTTTCCGGGTCCCAACCTGGACAACGGGGTCATCACGAGGAGACTCAGGAGGCACAATCCTGGGACTTTTCCCAGCGCGTGGAGGATACTTGAGAGGAAGGAAGAGCCGATAGGTGTCCGACTTGTCCTCTCAGTTGATTCCATAAGCTGGAAGGTCATTGTAGGTAACGGCAACAGGCTGTGTTGCGGTGGAAGTTCGGGGGTGTTTACACTCCTGAGCAAGAAGAAGAGCAGTGGAGCGACACCTGCTGGAACTGGCCTGGCTCCAAACCAGGAGTCGGACCAGCCCAGACCGACGGGAGCTGTGGCGGTAGACCAGGCTCCTTCACAGGGGATGGGTCGGCCGGGTCAGCTCTCGCTGGAGCCACCGGAGGCTACGGACGTGGAGGCGGCGGGTCCAAGCGGGATATCCGCAGAAAACATCGTGGCGGACCCTGCGATGGATCTGGTCCCAGAGGAAAACGATAGCGACTCGGACGAGGATGGAATCCTGAACCGAGTCCGAGAACTCCTCCGTGGAAGCGGAGATGAAGGCGGCTGTGGCAGCGATGACTGCGGCGGCGACGGCGGTACGCCCGAATAGGGGTTACATACCGTCATTCGGGAAGGTGTAGGAAGGGCCTCTCAACATCCATGGTAAGTTTTAATTTCATCCAAATTAACTTACAACACTGCATAGCGGCTTCGAGGGCCCTTACTCAGGAGATCACTCGAGGCCGACATGACGTGGCTCTCATCCAGGAACCCTGGCTGAGAAACGGTTCAGTAAACGGGCTTAGTATACCAGGCTATACGCTTTTTAGCGATACTCCGGACACTAAGCCCAGAGCTTGCGTAATGACTTCCGTCAACTCATGGCAACTTAAAGAATTTACATTTAGAGACTTAGTTGCAGTCAGAATTAGATATAAGAAGGAAGGCAGTGACAGGGACTTGGTTGTCTGTTCGGCTTACCTTCCTTACGATTCAAGAGACCCTCCTCCGTCTAAGGAAATGGGGGACCTTGTCGCATTCTGTAGGGATTCTGGACTCGACCTTGTGATTGGATGCGACAGTAATGCCCATCACGTTGCGTGGGGCAGCTCGAACACCAACAGACGAGGCGAAGACCTGATGGAGTTTCTTGGGGCATCGAACCTTGAGGTTCTGAATGTCGGTAACATGCCCACTTTCAGCAATAGTGTAAGAGAAGAGGTTATCGACGTAACACTGAGCACGCTTAACTTAGCTCAGGACATCAGGGACTGGAAAGTGTCTCTAACACCCTCTCTATCGGATCACAGGTTTATACTGTTCAAGACTGATGGAGAGATTCCGGATAAATATGCTCGGAATCCCAGGCATACTAGATGGGAGTCCTTTAGGGCAGACATTGACAGTAAGCTTGGAGCGGTCCCATACAGGCTTGGCAGGGGCTCTGACATAGAAGCAGCTGTCGAGTCTCTGAGCAGGGACTTGACGGCCGCATATGAGGAAAACTGCCCGTTACGCAAAGTACAAGGTAAGGGCAAGGCAACCTTCTGGACCAAAGATTTAGAGGATAGAAAACGAGCGGTGCACAAACTTCTTAGCAGAGTTAAGCACAGGAGAGGTTCTCCTCTATGGGAAGAATACAAAAAGGCATTGCAGGAGTACAAAAAGGAGATTAGAAGGGCCTCCAGAGAATCCTGGAGGCACTTCTGTCAGTCCATAAATGACATTCCTGCTACTGCAAGAATACACAGAGTCCTATGCAAAGACACTAAAGCAAGATTGGGATCTCTGCATGATCCCTCGGGAGGGAACACTACTTCCGAGGAAGATACTCTGAGGCTTCTGATGGATACGCACTTTCCCGGTTCCACAGTAGCGCGATCAATCACAGAGTGCATGCAGTTGCGCAGGCCCTCAAGGGAGGACTGGCGCACGGCAAGGGAGATTGTCACCTTCGAAAGGACGGTATGGGCAGTAGATTCGTTTGCCCCATACAAAAGTCCAGGTCTGGACGGCGTATTTCCGGCCATGTTACAGCAGGGACGGATTTCGGTTGTTCCTTACCTGTTGAATGTGTTTCGAGCATGTGTGGCCACGGGCTTCACACCTAGAAGTTGGCGGCAGGCTAAAGTGGTATTCATTCCTAAACCGGGCAGAGATAGATATACTGGCCCGAAGGATTTTCGACCGATTACTCTTTCATCTTTTGTGCTTAAGACCCTGGAAAGGATAGTTGATAGATACCTAAGGGATGGCCCACTGGAAAGGTGTGTCATTCATGCAAATCAGTTTGCATACCAAGCTGGAAAATCGACTGATCTGGCCTTACACAATCTGGTTGGGAGGCTGGAGAAGACTCTAGATCAGCGAGAAGTGGCACTCGTGGCCTTCTTAGATATTGAAGGTGCATTTAATTGCACCACAACCGACTCTATCAGACAGGCCTTGGTTAGACACGGGGTTGGATCAATCCTAATAGATTGGGTCCTCTCTACTCTGGAGGGTCGGGTAACAACAGCTATGCTGAATAACGTAAGCTGCAGCGTGAACGTAGCTAGAGGCTGCCCTCAGGGTGGAGTTCTGTCACCCCTACTGTGGTGTATCGTGGTGAACGAACTGCTCGTTAGGCTCAACAGTATGGGTGTCTACGTGCAAGCCTATGCTGATGACGTAAGCATAGTGGTTAGGGGGCGTTTCTGTAGAACAGTCTCGGAAATTATGCAGGGCGCTCTGCGCTCCGTGGAATCGTGGTGTAGGGAAGTCGATCTTTCTGTTAATGCTGAAAAGACCGAGCTGATCCTATTCACTAGGAGAAGAAGGCTTGACGGACTGGTCATGCCTACCTTCTTTGGGACTAGATTAGTTTTGTCCCAGTCAGTGAAATATCTGGGAATTATCCTGGACTGCAAACTGAACTGGAGAGAGCATGTGGAACACAAGGTTAGCAAGGCTCGCAATTCGATGTGGGCTTGTAGACGTGTTGTCGGTGTAAGGTGGGGGCTTAAACCCAAAGTGGTATACTGGCTCTACACGACGATAGTACGTCCATCTCTCTTGTACGGCTCCCTGGTCTGGTGGCCTTGCATTAGAACTGAGTCAACTAAGGCCAAACTCAATAAAATTCAGCGTTTGGCCTGTATTAGCATTACAAGCGCAGTGCGAACAACGCCATTGAGTGCAATGGAAGCTCTGTTGGATCTCCCACCGTTGGATCTGGTGATCCGCGGTGAAGCGAGAGTAGTCGCTCATCGACTGTGGAGTCAGGGCAGCTGGGCTTTCTTGAATCCGGTCAAGGGGCATACTGCCATATTAGTCGAATTAGATAGGGAGGACCCCGTCCTTCTAAGCAGGGGTGATCGTATTACCCCTAAATATCGCTTCAACCGCAAGTTCATTGTGGAGTACCCAACGAGGGAGGAGTGGGACGCCGGTAGCCGAGGACTCTCCGAAGTGAGCGGGCAGGTCTGGTACACGGACGGCTCGGTCACCGAAGAGGGCTCAGGTGCTGGGGTCTCTGGACCTAGAACTAGGCTATCTCTGCCTCTCGGTGAGTACACCACCATTTTCCAGGCGGAAATCTTTGCGATTCTGGCTTGTGTATCTCACATTCTGGAGGAGGGTGGGCCTAGGAGAAGAATAACAATCTTATCCGACAGCCAGGCTGCAATGAAAGCACTAAGTGCATGTAAGATTACTTCGAGTCTTGTATTGCAATGCAGGGAGGCTCTGGATTGCCTCGCAGCGAGGCATCCGGTATCGTTAATATGGGTACCGGGGCACGCTGGGATAAGGGGCAATGAGACGGCGGACACTCTGGCGAAAACAGGATCAGCCAGCAAGCTCGTTGGTCCTGAGCCAGCTCTAGGAGTAACCGCGCATAAAGCTAGGAGGAAAATGGAGACGTGGGTTGCAAGACAACACTCTCAGAAATGGAGAAGTATCTCTAGACATCTCCGCCAGGCACGAGAGCTCATTGAAGGGCCCAGTGCTAAGGATGGACGCTTCTGCCTATCTCTGGGTAGAGCCAACCTAAGGTTGCTGGTGGGACTGTTGTCTGGCCATAACACGTTAAGGCGGCACCTGCACGTGATGGGGGTGGCTGAGGATCCCTTATGCGAACGCTGCGGAGTAGAGGAAGAGACCTCGGCGCACGTTTTGTGTCGCTGTGAAGCTCTGAGCTACTATAGGCAGACTATACTGGGGTCCATTACTTTGGACCCTCAGGACGTAAAGGAGCTTGGACTCAAGGCGATTCTCAACTTCGCTAAAAGGGCGAGGCTTGTGATTTAAGTATTGTAGAGGTGCATAAGGGCCCGCTTAAGCGGCCTATGCACTGGCTCCTTATGGTGGCCGGGATGCCTCTAAAATTCAAGATTCATTCATTCATTCAAGCGTTATTTTGAAATTTATTATCATTTTTGGGTGCAGTCAATTTACTTTGAATGGGTTTTGAGAAGTTGCAAACCTCAATTTTCTACGTTTTTCAGTTTTTGATCAGCATTCCGTGACTCTTAAATTCAGCTAAATGAACTCAATTGCCTCATTCCTTCAAATTTAATCAATCCATAGTGTAAGGAATAATTTATTTCCAGGAAAAGGCAAACGGCTGATCATTTGTCACGTAGGTAGTGAAGACGGCTTTGTTCCCGAAGCACTGTGGGCCTTTGAATAAAAAAAGACAGGGGACTATCATGAGGAGATGGACGGCAATTCCTTTAAAAATTGGTTCTCCAAAATGTTACTAAAGCTGGAGAATAACGCTGTTATTGTACTGGATAATGCCCCGTACCATTCTAGAAAAATAGAAAAAATTCCCACAATGGCAACTAAAAAAGCAAACATACAACAATGGCTGGCCTCAAAACAGATCGATTTTGATGAAACAATGGTCAAGGGTGAATTGATGAGTATAGTCAATAGACATAAATACAAATACGATTTCAAAATGATTGACGAAATGGCCAAAAAACAAAATAAAACTGTCTTGAGACTGCCACCCTACCATTGTGAGCTGAACCCTATTGAACTGATTTGGGCCAACATAAAGCAATACGTGGCGTCGAATAATAATACTTATAAATTTTCTGATGTTAAAAATCTCTTTCACATCGCAGTCAATAGAGTTACGGCAGAGGAATGGAAAAACTGTATCCGCCACGTTCGGGAGAAGGTTGAGGTCAAACTGTGGGATTTGGACAATGTCATCGATACCCAAATTGAACCTCTAATAATTCATTTAAACGATTCAGAAGATTCAAGTTCCTCTTCTGAATGAGTGCGCGCAGCTTACTTACTAATAACTAAAAAGTGTAGTTAACTCATTTGTGAATCTCTAACTGAAATTTACTGTAAAAGATAATAATTATCTTGTATGAAATTTTTGATGACTACCCATAATATCTTGATGCGGTCCTGTAATGTCTCCTGCGCCTAAACACTCACTCACGAGCAATATGCGTGTATTTGTTTGGGTTTAGTTTCTTTCTTCAGCGCCTAGAGTATACTTTACAACAGCGCTCAAGTTCACCTATAAATATCCCGTTTCACTGCCGGACCCTGTACTTGTTTGTAACCTTGTCAATAGTGAGTCGGGCGTAAATCTATTAAAACTTGCTTGTAGCGTTTTTTTTAATGCAAATTAACTTTTCTGAATAAAAGAGTTGTATTCAAGTACAACATGTATTTGTAGCGTACAAAAGACCTAAACAAAATACGGTTCTGTCTACTTGGCGTTGACGGATCTGTCAGAATTATGTGCTACTTCTTGATATGGGGAATTTTTAAATATTACTAGATAATCAGCTGTTATCCTACCGTAATAAATACTTGTGAAAACGACGTTGCGCAGTGTGCGCTTCGAATAGTTTCGGAGATTCGAGGATGTATATGGTCTTTTTCACGAGTATCCATTACGGTGGAATAACAGTTGATTATCTCGTATTATTTCAAAATACACCATATCGGCAAATGGCACATAATTCTGATGGACCAGCTACGCATGTATTTTGCTTTGGTTTTTTCTACGCTACAGATTTATTTTATATTTGCTAACAACTCTTTTATTTAAAAAAAAATTATTTGCATACAAAGAAAACGCTACAAACAAGGCTTACACCCGATTCATTATTACCAACGTTACAGACCAATACAAATATGTCACTATCTGGTCAGCTGTTCACTTAAGTAGACGTCAAAACGTGAAATAGTGTATACAAGATGTTTCAGAACTATGGGATCAAACTTGTAGGGTTTATTCAGTGTAACAGTAGAAAACATTTGAGTATAGGGACCCATATCCGGCGCTTGTGTGTTGTTATCTTTAAAAACGATAACAGAGATTGTTTTTTGTAGCTGCATTCCATATCGCCTTAGTCGTGCTATCGTATTTGTGAAGTTTGCAAGAATTTAACAAAAATTAATTGTTGCTAATGGAAAACTTTGCCAATCAAGAACTGGCGGATTATCATTTGGCATACGGAGCAACAAGCTGCAACGCACGAGCAGCAACGCGGTTGTATCAAGAACGTT